GTGTGTGTGTGTGTGTGTGTGTGTGTGTGTGTGTGTGTGTGTGTGTGGTGGGAGGGGTTTGCTGAAGCCACTTGCTCCCTCTAATTAGCAGCGTGTGCCGGTAAAGAAACTCAGTAGAGCGACCTCACCAAGGCGCAAAGGCATCCGGGGGCCACTTCACCTGTGTTATGACTTAACTGTGAGAAATCCGACTTGCAGAGGCAGTTTCGGGTGTTCAGCGCGCCAGTGTGCTCTGCTACTAAGCTGACATACAGTAAAAGCTGAAACTGTAGTTAGAAAGAAGACGGAAAAAAAGGTTTAAGGTTTTTCTGGTGAACTTCGGCGCATCCCGCTTTTGTCCATAGTGGGTTGGATCTGACTTGTTGCCCCAGTGGATCACTGAGGGTCCATCGGTTGTTGTGGTCCGTGTCCAATATACAAGTCAGCGACAGGACTTAAAATCCTGCTGCAAGGATGATGTCCTACATAAAGCAACCCCATTACACCATGAACGGGTTAAATTTGCCTGGCCCCGGAATGGATGTGCTGCACACAACCATCGCTTATCCATGTAAGTATAAACTGTTATTTTTAATTGTTTTACTTGAATGTATTTGTCTCCTCTGCTGCTCTTCTAATTTAGAGCCTTATTCAACCCAAAATGATGCGTAAAGACGCGCAGGACGCGCGTAACGAAAATAAATGAAAGGATGAACCTTTTTGTTTCATAAGTGTATTGACAAAAGGTTTGGATAATAATAGTTGAGTAGTCAAATGTACCATAAAAGTATCATTACTACAATTATTTAACAAACGAAAATTAAAATATGTAATGGAAACTTTTCGTTCCGAGAGATTGATGATTTAAAATAAATGTTAATCTTTTTAATTTATGCACGAGTCTGCTGTCGTAGACATAATGTTTTAGTACAGATACATTTGTTAATACGCAGATACAATGAGCCCATTAAAAGCCTTGAAACGCGGATGATCCGCGCGCTCTCCTGAATTCAGTGTCTGTCAGGAATCAGACATAGATTTGATTTTTTGATTTTTTCGCTCCTCTCTTTTCCCCCTAAAGGGTTCTCAAACGTTCTCACGCTCCGATGAGTATAAATTGACTAAATTCACGTGACTACATCTAATAATTCCTATTTATGTTTTCTGAAAAAAAATGCACCTATTTGTCTGTTTGTATATGACTTTGACTGTACAAACAAGTTAAATGTAACAATGTAACTGCTTCTCTGGGGGGAAACTACTCTTGAAAGTACAGGTGACTATGAGCAGCAAATCACTTTGTCTTCCTATTTGTCACAAATATACTGTAGAAAACAAGTGAGGATTATAAACAGTATCATAATGTTCTGCGGTTTCCATTGATATTTGTATTTGTTGTCATCCTCACTCAAACCTCAAACCTACCCGAATAATCAGTTAAATGGCATGTCGACCTTTAAAAAAAATGTCATGGTTCTGAGTTGTGCTGATAATTCAGGTCAACTCTCTATATTGCTGCCAGAATAATAATCCCCCTTTCTGACTGTTGGGCGTGCAGCCACTCCCCGGAAGCAGCGCAGGGAGCGCACCACCTTCACCCGGACACAGCTGGACATCCTGGAGGCATTGTTCTCCAAGACCCGCTACCCAGACATCTTCATGAGGGAGGAGGTGGCCCTCAAGATCAACCTGCCCGAGTCACGTGTGCAGGTACTGGAGAAGTAGGCCACCGCCAAGATGGAGGCCAACTGTGTATGTGTTTCAGTTAGAGTGGGAGTAGGCATCTTAATAAACTTCCTCTAGGAGTACAACAAGATGTATATCTATATCCTGCATATGTTTTTACAATACAAAACTCTTTCTTACCTTCGGTACCCAGCTTTTTATAATTGAAGGTATTTGTTTTTCTGTTCTAACATCTTCTTCTCCGCAACTCCAGGTTTGGTTTAAAAACCGCCGTGCCAAGTGCCGTCAGCAGCAGCAGCAGAGCAGTGGCCAGTCCAAGCCCCGCCCTCCGAAAAAGAAGGCCTCTCCATTGCAGGAACCCAACGCCCCTGATCCTGTCCCTAACCCGTCTGGGTCCTACAGCCCCTCCTCTACCCAGTCAGGCCCCGGCCTGGTCCCAAGCTCCAGCACTGGGAACAACGCCGTGTCCATCTGGAGCCCGGCCATCTCGCCCCTGCCCGACCCCCTGGCCTCTTCCTCGGCCCCCTGCATGCAGCGGCCCTCACCTTACCCCATGAGCTATGGCCAGCCGTCGGCCTACGCCCAAGGCTATGCCAGCACCACGTCCTACTTCACCGGCCTGGACTGCAGCGCCTACCTGTCCCCCATGCACTCGCAGCTGTCGGGCACGGTGGGCGCCCTCAGCCCCATCACTGTGCCCTCGATGGGGGGCTCCCTGAGCCAGTCCCCGGCCTCGCTGTCCTCGCAGGGCTACAGCACGGCCTCCTCCCTGGGCTTCACCTCTGTCGACTGCCTGGACTACAAGGACCAGCAGGCCTGGAAACTGGGCTTCACCACAATGGACTGCCTGGATCACAAGGACCAAAACTCCTGGAAGTTCCAGGTCCTCTAGAGAGATGTGTCGCTCATGTGCGTCGACAAGTTGTGTGTGTCAACAAATCCCATGTGAGATAGTGTGAGGCATGTCTGCTGGAGGACTTGTAATCTTTGATTTTATCTCTCTTGTCTGTAAGATTTTTGTTTTATTTTCTAAAGGTGACCTCTGTAGGAATGCATTTTATTTGAATGACTTCGGAGATGAAGGGACCAGTGACTGTCATCAATGCTGCCTGACTGCAAATCATCCGATGAGTCTTCATTCATAAATAAGGGAACAAAAGCCTTTAAAGAGTTAGTCGGAAAGTACCAGAATCGTACGTATGGAAACACGCTGAGTCATCTCTTCATTCAACATGTTCAACTCAGACACATACAATTACACATTTTCTTTTAAACTTGCATTGTCATAGAGTGAAAGGGGAGCTGCTGTGATGGGACGTAGCTCTGAAGTCCTAATAGGTCACCTTCTCCTTCAGGGTTTAATCGTTTTAAGTTATTCATTATTATTTTATGCTACATTTAAATCTGTCATTTGTTTGCATTTAGAACTTAGCATTTGTGTTGCGTGTTGCAGTGTTAGCCTTCAGTGTTATCATCCTAATCTGTTTGATGGGGAAAAAAAGCTTTGTGACATATTAAAGTGATCTATTCTTTACACTTTGTGCACTGACAATCATTTAGATTCTTTGAAATGAATTTCACATCGTAGACTGAGGCCGTGTTGTGGTCGGGTCTGGACCCGTCATGGTCGTCATATGGCCTCCATTGGCTCTCACTGGTCCATCTTGGTTATTTTAGTTTATCTGTTTCTGGGAGTGTCCCAATCCTCTTAGCCTCCCTTCTGCAATGGCCTAAGTGAATTAGTTAGGATTATTGCCCTATCCCCCTCTGTCTCTCTCTGTCTCTCACCCATCTCACCTGCCTTGGCCTTCTCTTCCTCCCTTCCTTTCCTGGCTCTCTCCTCCCCTCCACCTTTCCTTATTCTCTGACCAACTTCTCTCTGTTTTTGTTTGTTGTTTCCTACCTCTGCCTGTTTTCTCGCAGGTTGTCTTGCCTTTTGCTTCGGTCCATGTGTATCCCACTCATCCTTATCTCAAACAATTTAAATCAGTGACAACAATAATAAAGCATTTTTCCCTACAGTTGTTTTCATCTATCGCTCCGGCGCTGAGGTATGTCTCTATCAGATCAGTGGTTCCCCTTCTTTCATCTCCTCCTGGACCCAGACCCCTCCACCCCTCCACCAATCTCCCCAACTTCTCCGTCAATTTGGTAATCCACACATGACCTGATTACTACCACGCAAACTCATGACATCAAATATGTGAAATGTTTTACGGAGGTGTGTGTAGTGCGGTAAGAGAAGATTGATTCTCTGTTACTTAACAAAACGCTGTCCTTCCAAAACTCTCTCCATAATATAATTTGCCTTCTTTTTAAAGCTAAATCGTTTGTCATTTTACAACACTCACCATAAGATTACCAACACATCAAACCTAAGGTTTCAAAGTATTGTTTTAAATCAATATAAATGGCTTGAAAAAGTATCACTCCTGAGAGATTTCTGGTGTAATATTGATAGAAATGATAAAATCTAATTTTATTTTGGTTGCCATATAAATCATATCTGATCCTCTGGTCATCAGCCATGTAAAATGTCACATCATTTAGATCATAAATTCAGATCTACTGCACTGAGAGACATTTCAAAGCATTTTTCTGCACTCAACGCTGGCCTAATCCCACTCTGTGCTGGTTTAATCCCTCTGCCCTCCCTGTCCATGGTGCGATTGGTTAATCCCTACGTATGACCACTCTGATTGGTTAACCTCCCGTATAGAGGGTGCAGTGCACTTGTAATCTTCCCCTCAGCACTGAGAGTTTCAGACAGACATTTGCGCTGTAATCCCGGGGAGGAGCAGATGTGATGGGGGATGGGGGGCACCGAGCAGACCTTGAGGAAGGTTAATGCCCGGAAAACAAAAACACAGCCCGCTCGGGCCGTGTTTCCTGCCACCAGTGGTTGAAGAAGTACTCCGATCTTTTACTTAAGTAAAAGTAGCAATACCCCAGTGTAAAGGGGCTCTGTTACAATTAACAGTCCTGCATTCAAACTCTTACAAAAGCTGAGAATTATTATCATCAAAACATACCTAAAGTACCAAAAGTAAAAACTCATTAAGCAGAATAATATGTATTACATCACTGAAATATGGTTAGTGATACATTAATGAGTATCTATCCACTAACATTGCTGTAACGCTAATGTAAAAAAGGAAGGTTCATTTCAGAATCAGAAACAGCTTTAATAGAGAGGGAAGAACATGTTCAAGGAATTTGACTCCAACATATAAAAATATATATGTATATGAATACATATATAATGTAACAGGTTGCTTTATATATGTACGGTTTAATATATACAGCGATGTTTACGTTCATATTGATAGTGATGATATTAACATGTTTAAAAACCAGCCAGTATTCAAACAAACAAAATGAAATATAGAATGTATTGGTGACGTGGATGTTTGTTGTTGGGGGGTTATTGACACTATATGACTGTTGTCAACTGTTCATCAGAGTGTAGGTCTGCAGGAAGAAGCTGCTCTTGTGTCTGGTTGTTGTGGCCTACAGTGTTCTGTAGCGCCTCCCAGAGGGGAGAACAGGTTGTGTCCAGTGTGTGGAGGATCTGTAGTGACATTTCCTGGCTGGAGGTGTACACATCCTGGATGGAGGGCAGGCTGTCACCAAGGATTTTCCCTCTGCAGCCCTGACAGTCCGTTGTAGTCTGTTCCTGTGCTGTCTGGTGGTCGATTCAAACCACACAGTGATGGATGTGTAGAGAACAGACTGGATTATTGCAATGTAGTCCACTGCCATCTCCACAGTTTTCAGAGTGTTCAGCTCCAGGTTGTTCTGACTGCACCAGAGGGCCAGCTGTTTAACCTCATGTTGGTATGCAGACATGTCGCCGTCCCGGATGAGGCCACATGGTCTCCTGAGGTGCAATCGTTGGTGTAATTTGAATTACTTTATGGACTAACAGGTAGCTTAATCAATATTAATACATCCTTATTAGTACAATATTGGCTTCCAAATTTAGCAGAGGATAAGTATAATGTAGCATAGATTGGAAAGTAGTAAAAATAGTGCTCGAGTGAAATGTACTTTGTTACATTCCACCACTCAAATTTACAAGCACTGTTTAAAACAATAAAATGTTGTGTTTAAGGTGTTAAAACATTGGTTGAACGTAATAGTTACAGGTCAAAGATTTGTTTCAAAGCAGTGGTAAGAATCCAGTAGAAATCCAGTAGCTTAGATCACATGTGAAGTGATGAATAACTCCACCTTTACGGGAAATGCCTCTTGCAAAATCAGTATAATGTCACATCAATTTATGAAACAAGCAGAACTGACCCATTAAGCAGCTCTTGCTAATCTACAATACAGTCTTACTAATCTAGCTATGACTGATTTTTATCGGTCATAGCTAGATTAGCAATACTGTACTGAATATATTGAAACGTGAACCTGCTCTTTATTGCTGATACTGAGATCCAAGTCTTTCTATTGAGTCTTTGTTTTTGCTCCTCTAGGGGTCACACCAACACCAAATAGATTAACCACCACATGAATTCACATGCAAGTCGATTTTTAATGTTGGCTGCTGGCTGCAGTGGACTTTTAACAATTGTATACACTGTTGGGTGGATTTTAATCGAACAATCTATCATCATTCATATGGTCATCTCATTTCTTAAAATCTTAACCTGCAATTTCTGATTTCTGCACTAGTGGGACAACATAATGGTCAGGGTGTATGAAATGTATCCACAAGAGGATGTACATTCACCCATGATGGATTACAGCACAGGCCCAGGAGCCCAAAGTGTCAGAGCCCCCCGTGGCCTTCACCTACAAAATGCCACTGACACGTACCAACCAGGACAAGGGACCCAAAAGGACCACAAGACACAGAAAACAACTACAAGCAGATGCAAAACTACAAGGAGACACAAGAAGACTCACACAATGACAATACAAATGTGCAAAACAACCAAGAGACACAAAATGACAACGCTGAGCCACAAACCAACTACAAAGAGACAAACTGTCTTAGAATTCACCCATGGATTCCCTCCATACTTAAATTACCCTGAATAAAGAGTTTAGCATGCACTATCAGTAACTGTGCTTCTGTACTTACATCTGAGCCATTTATTTCCTCCTAGAAGTGTTCACAGAGCATTATAGACTGCAGATATTTATTTCAAATATACTAAAATAGTAAATAGATTTCAAAAGATATAATCTGCCGCAGTGTCTTTAATTTGTTTCACCACGAGAGCTCTACCAGAGCAGGAGTTCTCCTCTATTCATTCCCAGCGAGAGAGGAGTGTGAAGAGGATGGCTTTTAAGAAGAGCCTGCACTTTCTAGAAATAACATGATTTTGAAAATTTGAAGATGATTTTGGCACGTTGAGTCATGGTGTTGCTGTGACATGTCACTGTGGTAAAATAAATACTACACACCGGCAGACCTCGAGGAAATATTTAGGGCCCGAGCACCGACAACGTCGGGCCACGAGGTCCCTATTGAAACTGAAGGAATTATTAGGGCCCGAGCACCGACGTAG